ACATATTTAGGCCTGATACATTTTAACACTCTTTTTGGCGATGCTACTTTTACTTCTACTTGAGTCATTATGGTTCTATTTTGCTCTATCAATCTCTGGATATGTAAGACGATGCTCACCTGTGGTGTAGATGATCAAACAGATGAAGGCTCTCCTGCTGGAATCCATTCTTCAAACATGCTGTGGAGTTTCTGTGCTGTTCAGCTCTCACTGTGCTCTCACTCAGTAGAGGTGAGTGATACAGACTCATCTACTGTCACTGTTCAGAAAGGAAGTGACTGAACTCTTTGTGCTGAGAACTTATCAGCTTCTGAAGTGTAATGAACTATCTGTGTTGGTTATATTCAGAAGAAGATAGAGTTTACTGCATTTTGTGCTATTGATGATAGAGACGTTTCATATTCACATTTTTCCCATTCTCCACAGCGGATCAACACTTTGTTGGATCATGTGATGCATCCAAACAGCCAAAGAGCATCACTGATTGGTCAAATTCAGACTGATTCAGATTGAAACACTGCTGCACTGAAGGCTTGGGGCAATGATGGATAGCAACATCTGCTAAACAGTGATTAGAGGGCAGAGGAAATTTGGAGCTTGGCAGAGAGTGTAATGACTGATTGGCGATAATACAGTAACAGCACTTACAGAAAACAAATACAACTTTCATTATCTTTGAAAAAGCAAGAATTATTTGGTAATTAGTAAACAGCTAATGTATGTTACATAGAGAGCAACTGAAATGCAGACTTACATACAGACCCTTAGTCATGGCAATCAAAGTTTTCCTCTTCTAATAAGTAAGTTTAATTTATAAAACACATCTATGTATGTGTGAATGTATGAATGTTGTCATTCACAGTTTGCACACTGGGTGGTGCTAAACATACTTGTAACACTGGAAAAGGAAATCCTGTGCTGCCACAGTTTTTGACCAGATCACGGTAAAAAGTATCGCAAACTGCCTGTTCTTATGGATGTTTAAAGGACTCACGTCATGAAAAACTAAATTTCTCCCCTTCATTTAATATAAGATTTTGATGTAAAATGTAAACATTGTCAAAGTTTCAAACATAAATTGGATATTTATTCTCCAGTCAATACAATCCATATACAGAACCTACGCTGCAAAAACAGCCCATGCTGAATGTCTCCATTCAGACTACCTAACTGTTTTTTTGGTAAAGGCATAATACAGGGCAGCAAATCAGAGCAGAGGTCATTTACATTTAGCCACCTCAAAAGCAGAGTAACAAAAAACAGCAAGTGTGACGTAATGAAAATGGTCTGTGTGAAGACTTCTTAGGTATCGTCTGTTAATTCTGAGCGGAGTCGAGGTCAGGGTGAGGGCCAGAGATGACAGCCGGAAAAACGCCTGCAGGGTTATGTCTCAAGTTCATAACATTAAGCACCAAAAAAGCTTGTCCTTTGTAACACGTCACCTCATTTTCTACCTAGCAGTTCACAAAAAGAGCAAGAAGGGGCTGTAAAGAATACGTCTAAGGCTAGTATTGCACTTTAACAGTTATAGGAAGTAAAACACTAAATAAATAGGAGGAAAATCATTGCATTGGTGTTTTCATGTATTGCATTGAAAGTGTATTAGACTGAGGAGGGATATGCTGAATTTCTAATAAACTTAGCTGAGTTCAGTGGTGTGTACAGGGCTGTTAGTGCTGAATGTGGCACAGAAGCTTAGGGTGTTGGGGAGGATGTTTGGATAAGACCAGCTTTTAATCTGATACAGTGTTCAGGATGTAGCACTGTTTAGGGGTTGAGATAATTAGCGCTGGTATGCAGAGTTCAGCTGGTAACAGCTCCAGAAAAGGAGTTCTTTCCAAGCCTGGTTGTGCTGGCATGTGTTGGCCTGTTGTGTGACAAGTAGAATCAACCCACAGCTATTTCTACACAATTTTTCTTTGAGATGAAGAAATGATGGTTTAATGCAGAAAATGTGACAATAAAATGTTTATCTCCACACAGTAAACATGTATTAATTTTTTAACGTGTAGATTTTTGTGTCTTTTCTTATGTGATGATGATTTTTTCCATATAAGTTTAACATCAAATTCATGACAATAATACATGTAGTACTGTGCAGTTAATGCAGGAGTTTTCATTATGTGTTTGATGCTGATGATCTTTAGAGTAACATTTGGCTTCTTTATTAATGTTTTGTTGTTTGAACATCCAGCTTCTTCATGAAATTGCACCAGTTAATAATTTGTGATTTGTTAAAAACATTTGCTGCCTTAATATGATAAATGCTCGTAATTAAGTTGTATTTTTTATTAGAAGCATGAATTACTATGTGGTGCTTCTATTCAAATACAAGGAGGACAGTTCAGATGCAGCCTGCAACAGCTGAAAGCTACATGTGGAGGCCAACTTTTATAAATACAGTTGTCTCTTCTGTTGTCTGTTGTCAGTCCTGATAAAAGTTGAAAATAAGTGAATGTTTAATTTTTTTTTTCTGTCTTAAGCCTCTTTCTCTGTAAATAATGTAACTAGTAAGAGTGTAACTAACAACAACTTGAAAAAGCAGTGACAGAATGTATCAACAGATGGCACTATTTCTGTTTATGCAGATATTTCAGCGCTCGCATTCTTACTATAAATTGTACAACTTTATTCAGGTATTTGTCTGATGGTAACTTGTCTAGTAGTCAGTATAACTTTGTGCCTCTCCAGTGACCTGCACATGGTGTCTGAATGTTTTCTGTGAACATATATGTACATTCTGCGATGGACTGGCGACCTGTCCAGGGTGTATCCTGCCTTCCGCCCAATGACAGCTGGGATAGGCTCCAGCACCCCACCGCGACCCAGAAGGATAAGCGGTTTAGATGATGGATGGATGGATGGATATATGTACATTTTTCCTTAGTCATTCATTCAGCCCCTTGACACAGGTAAACCTCTTAACCCAAGCACTTATCTTCATATTATGCCATATTATATATGTTTTTTTTTTTGTTTTGTTTTTTTTTTTGAGTAAAACAGCATGGAAAACCTGAAGTTCCAAGTGAGCAAAAAGAAGAGAAAATAAAAAGAAAGAATGTTCATAGTAATAAAGCTCATGCACTGGTGAAATTAAAGAAATAAAGGTTGGTCTCTGTCTTTTTCACAGTACTGTATGAGCTCATATTACTGTAAAATGCCTCCAAACATTCAGTAACTTCACACATCACAGGTGAAAGGGAAGTGGTGGGGATCTGTGGGTAACGTGTGAATACATTAAGAGGAAGTGTGAAAGGAAGCAGACACACTGTCAGTTCAGCTTCATCTTTAATGATATTTTGAGGTTGATGAAGTTTTTGTGGTGAGTCCAAAGTAAAGAACTGAACAGAAGACATGAATATACATTACCTTTTAACGTCTATCAGAGTTTATGCATGTTTAACTTGAGAAGAATGACATGACTACAGCAGCATCTATGAGCAACAATATTAAAAATCATAAACTTGGCGACATAAAGACTAATGAGTACTAACAGGACAGCAGTAGGTGAGAGGAAACAAACAGGAATCATGTCATTTTAAAGTATCAGGAGATGTGTGTGAGGAGTTCGTAAGTTCACATATTTATGAAAATGTATGGTTGTGTGGTGAAGTCCACTGAGGTGTGACCAGGCCAGCCCAGCAGGCCTATAATAAACAGGGTGGGGGTGGATAATGAGGGATACACTACACAGTGTGAGCAGAGGATAATCTTTCCCCAGACACTTCTTCTCATAACAAACCAGTGTTGAGTAACCCATGACAGCTGGAGATGCAGCTAATAATTCACAGAGAAAGAACTTTAAACTATTATGTACTGTAATGTGCAAATATATAAATTAATTTATTAAATTTTCAGTCTGAACAGCCACTAAGTTCAAAGTTTTTTCAGCCACTAAAAAGACAAAACAAAAGCAGCTACAATCACTTTAAGATTTATGACTTTGTCTCAACTGCATTTAGACCCTCAGTGGCTTTGCATGCACAGTCAGTGCAGCTCTGAAACTCATAATGGAGTCTGTGGGTTTCTGTATCTGGGGCAGGACAGTGATCTGTACAGTGTGTGCTTTGTTCAGTAGTACAGTTGCGTGTCTGTTTCTGTTTGTGTGTAAATGTTCTTTATAGATTCTCTGCTTCTTTACAGTTTCAGTAAACTACAAACTGTCCTCAGTATTTCACACCACTTTTAATTAATCTGCTATTCAGTTACTGTGTAGTGGAACCATAACAAACTTCCCACAGTTCAGTTTGCTGTTAATATAACCGCTTGAACTTCAGTTTAACTGTTTTATTTATATATAAACACCTGCTTATCTGTGCTTTTGCATTAAGTTACTGTAAAGCGAAAGAACAGATACATAAAACAGCTCACAGCTTATATTTCATTCACTAACAAAAGGCAGTTATTTGATGAGGGGCGTCTGGTGTGCAAACACCTCAATTATGCATAATATTCATAAACATTTTGGAACATCAGAATTGCAAACCCACTGAAGTCTCCATAGTGCTGTAATGTAAACACTGTACTGTATGTAATACTCTGTCTTGTTTGATGAGTCAGTGACATGAAACAAAATGTATGAAATAGGCAAAAGAACAAATAACAGGAATATTCTGAGAGAAAGAGAGAGGGGTGAGAAATTAGTAGAGGACAACAGGAACATATCTGCTGATCTCAAAGAAATCTCAGAAAGTTATTGATCTGTTGTAGTTTATGAAGGCTCTTCACTGCTCACTTACTCACGTGATGAGAGTTCAGTGTGTGTTGATGAGAACTGAAAGAGATACTGTTTTCAGTCAGTCACACAGGAAGTGGTACTTACAATATAGAGAGAGAGAGAGAGAGAGAGAGAGAATTGCAGTCTGCTGCCACGACACATAGAAGGAGATTTCAAGACAACATTAAGCTATAATGTGGTTTATTCTGACTTACTCTTTCAAAATGAAGCAGCAATAAATAAACTCTGAGATCTTTAGTTGAAGTCTGGTCATCATAAGCATTACAGAGCGTCCATAAGATGAACAAATATTCTAAGGAAGGTCTTGGAACATAAAGAAAAAATCTTTCATCTTTATAAAAACATTTTTTATTTCAATTATTGTTCGAACACTTACATTTATCAAAGAGTGGTGTGGTTTAATACATGTATGGGTGTGGTTTAACACATGTAGGGGTGCTACTAAACAGTAAAATAAATAAAGAAGTATTAAAATATTTTCCCCTGAGTTTAAGTAAATGGAACTGATGACTGACCTGCAAATAAACAAAGAGCCCGTGGTTAATAACATCATGTGTTATATTTCAATCATTTAAAGTGCAACCAAATAGAATATACATCTTGTTTTAGAACTGTTCATTCAAAAATAATACATATACGATAACACAAGTATTGTATTCTATTTATATATTTCACTTTTAGGAGAGTCCAGACTAGTTTCACTTTCAAAATGATTTTTAGGGATTTCCATATAGAACACATATAAAAACACAGCATCTATATGGATATAATCACTCACCTGTTCCTTTCATATGGCAGACTGCTGAACTCACTCTGTGGAAAGAACAACAGACACTGAATAACTGATGATGGATGAATAAACAAACCACACACTGTTCATGTTCCGTTATGGTTCTCAGAGCAGCAGCTTATTAGATCACAGAAGCATGTGATAATGTATTGATCTGTGGGTGATGGTAAATGGAGGGAGGACGCATTAAACCCCCCAAAAACTCTTCACTAAAATTCACCAGAGCTGCTCTTGTATACAGTATATTTTCAGGGCTTTGCATATTTTCTTCTTCTTGTTCAGTGACAGGTGTTTTCCAGGTGTCACATGATAAAACTGTCATGAGTCACTGATAATGACTTCAGATTTGAATGACCCACAACTGCCAGTTTGTGCCTCTCATTGTTTCTTCCTCTCTCTCTCTCTCTCTCTCTCTCTCTCTCTCTGTTTCACACACACACACACACACACACGTCACACTCCCAAACTAATATGCAAAACCATTTCTTAAACACGCTACAATACTTTACTCTGGAACAGCACCTTTCAGACTCATAGCATTGAGTTGTCTTCTCACAGTGGAAGGATGGACAGATAAACCTGTGGATTTTTTCAGATCTAAAGCAGCTTTATTTTCTCCTCTCTCTTCAAGATGAAAGTGCTGTGCATCTGATGTTATCAGTTTTGGTGGTCTACCAAGTCTTACCCAGTGGTTGAGACCCATTTTCTATACATGTTTTATAATTTTTTTTTTTTTAACTCCAGTTTTGGAGACTACTGTATATTCATTCATTTTTATTTAACTTTCTCCTTATTATAAAAGTCGATTATACTGTATCTAATCTCCTCCTGAAAAATGAATAAATTGTACTTAGTGGCTGTTTTGACTGGAAATTAAATAAATGAGAGGTGATCTTTGTACAGTGTTTTATGTCTGTGGTTGGTGCACTCTAGTCACAGTGGCAGCAGTTATCAGCCCCCCAGATTCACACATTAAAACGGAAGTGGTGGGTTTCAGCTTAAAATGAGGCCTCAGTGTATCTCAAACTTTTACACTAGGACAATAAAGGTGACATCCTTGAGAAAACACCTAGAGATTATTTTCCACGGCCCCTGAATGTATTAGTTGTGATTAATAAGGGGGAACATTTTACAGGTCCAACTTTTTCAGTGTACATTGGAAAATACAGTTTGTGACAGTGTGGGGAAAAAAAGAAGTAACAGTTAAATGAAGATTCTCCTTTATTCAGAGCTTTCAGTGTATTCAGGCAGTGCTTTCAGCATGAAACATAATCACTGCCTCAGTCTGGATGAACTCATGCTGAAAACAACCTCCTAATTGTACTTTAAAACTGCAGCCATAGATACAAAATACGGAGCAGCTGTCTCAGTCACAGTTATTCATGATAAAGTTTCTGGCTTATAAATACAGTGTGCATACAGTGTGTTGGGCTAAAATATCAAAATGATTGTTTCCTGTTGTTTTTTTATTTGTGAATGATATTTTAATAATTGCATTTCTTTATGCTTGTATGTAGTTTTACTGTTTTTCTCCTACTGTTTTATTTGTGTATGCTCTTTTATCACCTGTGTTGTAAACTGCTCTTGAGTCTGTCAAAGGTGCTCTGCAAAGAAAACTATTATTATTATTATTATTATTATTATTATTATTATTATTAAGTCAGCAACAATGTGGATGTAAATCTTTGGGTGTTTACGAGATTGAATATGGTTGTGCATAACACTCCTACTACTAAACACTAGCACATGGAGGCACAAAGTGACAATTTACCTTTGCAGATAAGAGATAAACACAAATAAAGGTTGATTGATTGATTGATTGATTGATTGATTGAACTGTTCATGACGCAATGCATGATGGACACGTCCAGCCTTGTCCAGCCCAGCGTGAGCACATCAGCTCTGTGTTTGTCTTTTGTTTTCTATAAAGCTGAGATGAAGAATCATGATGGAGTTAAAGAGTTATTAATGAAGCTGATTGATTAAAATCTTCACTATATTAACTCAAGTGCTGCTGATGGAATTTAATAAATCCTCCTGTAGCTCTACTTTCCTGCAGAATTTAGTTCCAACCTGTATCTAAAATGCTGCCTCTTCCTTTCATAACACTAATGCATCTGATCCAGCCAATCTAGTACTTCTGAAGAGATGGAGGTGTGGCAGGATGTAGTTGGAACTAGAAGCTGCAGGAAGGTAGATCTACAGGATCAGGGTTAGTAATCACTAATCTAACTTCATTCTTTTAACCGGGATGTCAATAACTTTATTTGTGTTTATTCTAATGTAATATAGTGTTTTTACCAGCTAAAACACAACTTACTGACAAGACAGAGAGTTACAAACAATGTAAACAATACACACACATGCAGTGCATTCAGAGTGTTTACTATGTACACAATGCATTCAGAGAAACAAATTCATTTTTCCAGGAGATCATTTATAACCTTTCACTGTAATCTAGCTGTACTGTCAGTGCTTTCAGTATAAAAAGAGGCAGCTAAGGGTTAACCTATATTTTATACATAGTTTTTTATAATCATTTAAAAGACTCATCTCAGCTGATATTGTTATGATTTTAGTTTGTAAGATGGTGAAACAGCCAGTTTAAATTCAGGACAGCTTTTCACGCAATGCATGATGGGCATGCCCAGCCTAGCCCAGCCCAGTACGAGCACATGAGCTCCGTGTGTTTCTTTTGTTTTCTATGAAGCTGAGAAGAAAACTGACGATGGAGTTGAGGGGTTAGTTGATGAAGCTCGTTAATTAGAATGGCTGGTTAAGATGTTCTCAGAATACAGGATTCATCCAGCTCTGCTTCACCTGCTTTACTGTAAGTCTGTTTTCCTCAAACTATTCCAGGAAAATAAGGAGCTCTGAACTTACAGTGCGGTCAGTCCGGACTGAACACTGATAGAGATCGTCTTTACTGTTACTGCTCTGTGTTTAATAGAAAACAGTGTCACTGTGAGTGTTGATGTGTTTTTATACAGTAGAGCAGAACTGAAAGTAGGTGCATCTGTATTAGATGATCTGTCAATGTGAAATACAGTCATATCAGTGATTAGATCTGTATATGAAGTGTGTTGAATGTAGCTTTAACATTAAAGCAGTAGTGAGATCAGTGGGGCTGTTCAGGGTGATGGAGGGATGAAAGAACAGCAGGATCAGGTAGATGAGAGCTAAAATAATTGCAGTTACTGACTCTGAGTCAGTTTAAGTCTTTATAGCAGGTTTACTGGCTTTGATTTCAGCTCTGTTACAGTGTCTATCTTCTGAGAGGAATTCTCAAAAACCACAAGAGGAACTTCTGGATCATAAAATTCAGACTGTATTTCATACTCATCTGCTATGAAGAGTATACAGTATAATTTAAATAAAGTTTGATGGGACAAAATTATTAAGTGCATGTAGTCAATACAAAGAAAACTGAATATGATGAAGTGCTAGATAACCTACATTTTACACATTTTTAATATTGATTAGTGTTTGCCTCAGGGGCTCATTGTGGGCATTTGTTCTTAATGTTTGATTATTACCAGTAAAGTAAATGGTTTCTAGTTTTGATAAGGAAACTGTAGAACAGTCAGTGTTCTTCCTTCATAGTAGACACACAGCTGTTCCTGTACTAAATGTGAATCAGATTAAATGAGAGTGTTGCAGAAAAGATCTGATGTCCAAGTTCAGTCACTTTTTAAACCATCTGAGATAGTGGATTCAGAAATGAACTGATATTGAATATCTTCTGTGTGTGAGTGTATAGACTAATATTATTTACTTACACTGTTTCAGGTCTGCTGTGCTCAGCTGGAGAAGAGGTTGTCAGACTGCAGGAGCTGGAGGGAAACACTGTAACCATCCATACTGGATTAACTGGAGTTCAGAGTGATGCTCACATACTGTGGTTTTATAGATCTGAAAGTGTAGAAATAAGGATAGTGAACAGTCAGATTATTAGAGGAGAGATTATTACAGACTATTACAGTGAGAAATTCAGAGACAGACTGCAGCTGAACAGAAACAGTGGATCTTTAATCATCACAAACATGAGCAGAGAAGATTCTGGAGTTTATAAATTAAATATCATTACTGGAATATCCTCAGTCTGGAGTTTCAGTGTTGATGTCTATGGTGAGTAAATATTACCCATTAAAGTGTCTGTTTGTGGGTCTGCACTTCAGTTTCTCTCTCATCATTATGTAACTTACATACTTGTTTTGTACTAGTTTCCCAAATTTCATAGCAGAGCTGCACAATATTTTGTTGCTTAATCCTTATTGTGACATCAGCCTTAATAACACAGATAATGTGCCACATAATGAACCTGAGAGTTCCTGTAGAATAAAGGAGACAGATAATTAACAGAACTGAGCTCAGACTGCAGATCAACAGTAAATAATAAGAGTAGCTGCTACCCTGGAACAGGATAATCTGTGTACCAGTTGTTCACACTGACACTGTTCACACTGAACTAGTGTTGGAGATTTTTGCTGTACTGTTGGACTGATGAACAGACTAGATTTAATGTGATAAAAAGGTGCTAATTTTTATACTTATATTGATTGACTAGTTTGCAAAAAATACAAACACAATACAAAACACTTTGTTGTGAAGGATGTGATCACAAACGAGATCATCAGTCAGTGTGTACTGAATAGAGATACAGCACATGGCTCAGACGTGCTGTTTATGAACTACAGTAGATATCAGACATGCTGAAACCTGCCTGAGGTTGGCAAACTGCAGCTGCAGCTTAAGATCAGACACTGAATCTTTTCTATAGTAGCCAAACAGGACAAACAAATACATTTCAGTTCACACTATCATAGTGATACTGTTAATAGTAATTTGACATATTTGTATTGTTAGTTGTAGTTTTGTGTATGACTTCAATAATCATCTCTTATCTGTTTTGTTACTTAATTTTGTATTTCACAGCTCCAGTATCAAAACCAATCATAAGAAATCAAGCTGAAAAGCGCTCAGTGAGTCTCAGAGAGTCGTGTTCTCCTCTGTGCTCTGTGGAGAATGGGAAGGATGTGAATTTGTCCTGGTATGAAGAGAAAGAGAGAATCTCCAGCATCAGTAGCTCAGATTGCAGTGAATGTCTCTCTCTGCCTCTGAATATAACCAACCCAAACTCTACTTACACCTGTGTAGCTGCTAATCCAGTCAGCAATCAGACAACCCAGCTGAACATTACAAATATCTGCTATAAAGCAGGTACGTTACCATCATCATTCATTTTGTATCTTGTTTGTTGCTAATTAAAAGGTGAATATTCTAGTCAGAGTTGGTTACACTAAGAAAATGTCATTAGTTTGTTTGTTGCTATAATGAAGCAGATTCACCTGCTAATTACTGAGATTTAACGCAAACGACATGTTTGTCTTTGCTATTTTGTGAAGTTAGCATTAATATCTTGTTTAATTATTGGGCCGGTTTACTGCAGCAATTTTTTTCTTAACAGTCTCAGGTCAGAATGTTAAGAGAGATCAATCCAGTTCGCTGGCTGCTGTTCTGATACCTGTTCTGATTGTTGCTCTATCAATATTATTTTTGTGGTTCTGGAAAAAGAAGAAAAAGCAACAAGGCAAGAAATACATCTTCTCGATTTGCTACATCAATATTAGTGTTTTTGTAAGTGATGCAGTTTTTGCCACATTTATACAAAACACTCTTCTGCCTTTTTACTCTCTAGATTCTCAAGATGCTGAGCTGAATTACACTGAAGTGAAAACCACAACTCGAAATTCAAGGGAAAGTCATGAGGTAATTTAGTTATATGTATTAATATGATAGTTAATACTTATTTTGAAGTTCTTGCACACACTTTATGAGGACGAGGATATTCGTCTTCCATCTATTACACTGCAGACCTGAACATTAACATCTTCGGCTGGAATAGAACAGCAGCAGAATGTTATTAGCTCTCTTTAAGTTGTTTGGTCATGTTGAAAGGATCTCACTGTGTTAATCTGTATGTAACTCAGAGTGTTAGTATGTGGATACAAGTGTTAGTATAATTTGTTTTATTTTTTCTATATACTATGTTAATATAGTAAAATATCTCTAACTTGGACTCACCTCATGAAAGCACTTTAGACTTTTCAGACATGACCTATTACAATATTTGACAAATACACTGTATTCATTCTTTTACACAGAACTGTGTATTTTTAAATGCTGATTCTGATGGATACAGTAGGTTCTTTCTGAAGCTAATACAGAGCAAATTCAGAGCTTCAGTGGGTTCAGTATAAAGACATTATTTTGTCTGTAATTAAACAGAGTTCTGGTTGTGTACTCAGGCTGCTCGTATGGGGGAGGACAGCCATTTCAAATACAAGCCGCGCATTTTGTTTAACTAATCAAACGGCCAGAAAGCCATGATAATGATCTAGACTGTAAAATGCAGACTGACTGGTTTAACTGACTTGTTGAGACTCGTGAAATGTAAACAACTTCATCATATTTACACTCCAACTCTGCACTCTCTTATGCTTTCATTATTATTAACGAATGTATATGGACCACAGTGTAATTTACTATTACATATAGGTAGTTTTGCTTGTTTAAGGGTGAGTACTAGCAGAGAGAGCATCACAATACATTGTCATGATATGCAGTACATATGAGTACATTTCATTTTCTGGGGTTTGTAAACAAGTTGGAATGTACAAAAGCAGCAGTGCTACATTTTAAAATGAAAAACTGAGTGTAAGATGTAAAAAAATAACAAATTCAGAAGGAACAGAAGGGAAGATCAAATATTTAGTTAATAAGTAAATAAAGTGAAATAATGTCATAACGGACAGTGCACAGCTACCGTACACTGGTTGTTTTTTACTGGCTCTCTCCAATCGGTCTACATCAGTTGCTCAATGTTTAAAAGCTGACGATGCGCAAGAGATTCTCAGAAAAAGTGTATTATGATGTTATTAATCACAGGAGTGTTTAACAATAAGTTTTCCTCCATAGAAATAGAGCTAGGGTCTCAAGATCCTGACTGAATAGTGAGACTGCAGCACTAGGGACTTTCCAAGATCGTATGTCCTCCTGTCTGTTCTAATCTGAATTCTCATGCGTCTGTGCTTCTGTCTATAGGACCTACTCTTTGAAACTAATTACACACACGTTGAATTCACGGTATGTTTCATTACTGATCTGATAAAACGCATAGTTTTCACCCAGAAGCCACATTTTAAGGGTTAAAGCAAAGTCAAAGACACAAAAGCAAACTGAAAGGATTGTACAGTCCAAAAATCTGAGGCCTCTAGTGAAAATGCTTTTATTTTGTGTTCGTTTCTAATTGAATACAAAACAGTTAATTGTAATTATATTATTAGCATAGAAATGTTAGTGAAAAGTAGAATATTTGATATTTAAATGACACTGTGCACTCAAGCTGCATGAACTCCACAAGTTTGTGCAAAAGCCCCTAATCTGTAGATCAAATCCAGCTGAGAGTCGCCTGAACACGAGCTTCAGTGGAAGAGAGAAGACTTAAAATTAATCTGACCTTTTTTACAAAGACCCAAACATGGTCACTGTAAGTCATGAAATGGAGCAGAATCTCATATTTCTTCTTCATTTTGATTTTCTTTGTTTAATTGTTTTTTTTATTCTAAAACTTTTTGTTTTTTATTTCCCAGATGTTCAACACATGTACAACTCCACTGTACATTTTATCAGTATTAACAGAGCTTTTACTAAAAAGGTTCTGCTGTGTTTTACAGATAAACAGAGCTGGAATGACAGAAGAAGACCAGAGTGACTCAGTGGATTATTCAGAGATCAGACATTAACTGTATTTTATCAGCTGTATATCCTTTTTTAATAATGTTTTACATTCTTTGCAGATGGCTGCCTTGTTTTGATCAGTATTGAACAAACCTGTTGTTTAAAACTGGTCACAAGCGTTTACTGTGTGAGCACTCACTCAGTCCATTTCTGTATTTATGCTGTGTTTATTGTTTATGCTATGAATTTTGTAAAAAGCTTTCATTCTGAACTGGTATTAAATGATATTCCAGTATTTTATATCTTTGTACATGGTTTTACTTACTGATTCATTTTTAAATAGGTGTTACAGTCTGTTGATTTTGGTGACTCCTGTCTGAAGTTGCATGATCAGTTTAATTGTGGTTTTATTGTAACACCTGGTGTGTCTCACCAAGCAGGATCTCCAGCTAACGTTAATCTTAGTTCAATCTAAACCTGGATTTTCCCGGATGATCTACCAAGCAGTGATTTTTTTTTTTACTATGCGGCATCACCATGGCAACGTAATCTGCATATCCAACCTTTGTATCAGGTTTATTTAATGAAAAAAATGTCCTACCTTTACTGACACATATACCGCGAGAGGACCTAGAAGAAAAAAAAAAACAAACAAAAGGAAAGGAAAACATTTTGTTGTTATTCCACTTAATAAGCTGACACCACTGTGAATTTAGGTTTTTCCTAGGTTTTTGTTTTTATCATGGCAAAAACATGTCTGATAAACGACTAAGCCACAGCCTTTGAGTAGATGTCTGCACACATTTAAGTGATTTAGACCTGCAATGTTGAAGTTAGCAAGGGAAGAAATTGGGTCACCAAGAGCTACTGACAACCACCAACAACAGAGCAGCTTCAGGTTTCAGTCTAACGCTCGACCTCTCAATTTTCAATGTGCGTTCAGAGTATTTAGCGCTCTGTATCTTCAGTAAACATCTACAGAGTCAAAGCTTAAATGCATCAGTGCCTATTTCATGCTGCAGAAATAGTCTAATGTCAAACAGATTTTAAAGTTGTTCTTCTATTACCACCAAAAATATAACATTAAAATAGGCTTAATAAACCTTTGGTTACTTGAGCACTCAAACTTTCTCTGAACATACAGCCAGTAAGATCAGCTTGTTTTGTTTGTGATGTTTTACTGGTTTAATTCCTATTGTGTTTGTTGTCTGCTGAGCTACTCAGCAAATCAGTCTTATCAGTTTTAGACCTTCAAAACAACAACATCGCCCTCTGCTGTTCATTCTATACTTTCCAAGAATTACCAACCAAAATAGGTGCAGGAGCCGATCAGCAGCTTTAGAGAGCATTTAGGAAGTAAACAGTAATAACACTGAATGCTGCACAATGAAACACAAGCTTTCACATGTTATTCAGTCTTTATTAACTCTGTGCTCTGATCACATCAACATAAATGTCTGTAATTTGGCTTTGTTTCTGAGACAGCATGTAGTACACATGATAATCTTGAGATAATTAGAAACTCTTTATGCTTTATACACTCAAAAATTAGAACTATTTGAACAACTAAACTACAATTTAGTCTTTTCTGTTAAAGGGTGTCCTGTTTTAGAACTTTAACTGCTTTTTTTAGTCTGTTTAACTGAAAAATATGAAAAATGAAAGGGATAAGCAAACTTTTTATAAGCACATAAACAGAAAGATTTGTGTTTTATCATTATCTTTTTTATTTCATTATAACTTAAATTACACTAGACATATATTACAAAACACAATACAGCCCACAAAGACAAACAAGCAATAACATGACTATTCATAACATGATTATGAATAGAAAAATAAATTATTATTTTTATATAAATACATAAAAAATATTAATAATTAATAAATAGCCAATCATCTCAGAAACTGTTCATAAAAAACTGACTGACTAAAAACACTGGATAATTTTCTAATTTGAACACAGTCTGCAGTGTTTTCTTTATTCTCCAAACTGAGTTCTAGAATATCTGGAGTTACACCAACAATTTCATCTACTTTTTAAATCAGTTTATTTAACCTGTTTCTGTCTTTCCTCCAACAGAGCACAGTATTAAAGACAACAGTCACTAAAATACACTGATAAACAACAAATAATACATCAAACAACCTTCACTTACTGATAAAATAATCTTCAGTAATGAAGTCAGTTTTACTTTTCCAGCTCAGTTTTCTTTCCTAAAGGACACCAACTGGAGTTACTTCCTGCTTTTTTATCATTTTAACTGTAATCTGAAATGCCATTTTAAAGTGAAACTGTAATCTATAGTACAATAATACTGTAAATAAATCAGTATAAATGTATATAATCTCAGTAAAATGATAAACTGCTCATTCTTTAATCTCTAATCTTCAGTCTTTAATCTGAGTGAATGTGTTGTCCTACCGCTCTTCATCGAGCTCCTCTCAGATCCGTCACACTTCAGTTTAGACAACAAGAGCAGCCTGTCAGCCACATCCATCAGACAGTGTCCAGTTCTTTAGTGGAAGAAGGAATTGCAGGCATTTCCCACAGCAGTTTGTCAGCAATCTTTTCATTCTTTATGAACTGAAACTATGTTCAGTACAGCAGATCAGCTCTGAGCTCCAACCGATGACTGTCTGCGCTTCTTCGAAATGGCGACAGAAACGTACAGCATGTCTCCTCCTACATGGTGACGTAGGATCACAACGTCACTCACAATATAATAAACCTTCGTCTAATCTCTTACACTCCGAAACTTCTGTTTCTACAGTGACCTGAAAGTCCATTTTCAGTTAGAACACAGTTTAAACCATCACTCTTTAAAAAGTCTTACAAATTTATTTTATATAAATATATAATCTGAACAAATAATAATCTGCTTATTCTTTTGAATAACCTACCAGGTCACTCAGCAAGGACACCTGTTAGCCTGTTAGCCAAACCTGTCAAACGATGACCAGACTGATTTGTCAGCATTTCTGAGCTGTTTGTCAGCATTTCTTCATACTTTCATCTACTGAGCTTATCTGCAATACAGCAGATCAGCCCTCTGCTCAAAACAATACGTGCTCTCTGACTACAGAATGGAGATTGAGTTTATGCCTCCTCCTCCATGGTGACAGAGCATAAAGCCATCAGTCTAAAAATACACCTTCATTTATTTGTGCTCTCTTACAGCAAATTCAGGATCAAAGTATGAGAATCTGTTTCTACAGTAATGTCATTTTCAGGTAGAGCTCACAATGCAATACAGAGGTTTATTCATTAAAAATGCCTGTAGCTGCATCTGACATACATCAAATAAACCTCATATCATAGGTCAAAATCAACTGGACTCACATTAATTATTATAGATGGTCTCAGTCACTAATGGCTGAGCAGTTCTGTGCATGTCCACATTTATCTCTGTGTTCCTCTCGCTGATGTATTAGTAAAGTAGAAAATTCAGTGTCACTGACCTCTTTACTGAGCGTGTATATCAGTCTGGTCAGAAGTTTGGTCTGGAGTTCAGGAACATTTGCTTCAGTTTTGCTTGTCAAATGATGTTCATACTGTTTGCTCTGTAGCCTCTTCAACAAGGAAGCAAAGCAATGATGACTTCCCCACCTATATTTGCATTAGACACACATAAATAGAGGATGAGAGGCTGAATTCACCAAAGCTTTCCTATGACAAACTTTAAACAGTTGCTAAGTTGTGTGAGTTGCGCCAAGCTGTGTAAATCTGTGTAGCTTCCATACAAAACCCAGACATTCCAATTTAAAAAACTGGCAACATAATTAAACTGCAAAGTCCTTTACAAGGATTTTTTTTGTTTGTTTGTTTTAGTTTGTTCTCAGTAGTGTCAGACCAGATAATGTTTAATATCCCAGTTTAAATTCATAATTGCTGTCATTCAGCAACTGAAATGTGCAGTAGAACAAAAGGTTTTGTCGCTCACCTTGAGATAAATATAGCTAATAGTAATTATGTAAGACAAGAGGCTTTAAGATACAGTAAGTAATTACAAGTAATTGAGGTAAAACAATCAGGGTCCTTTCTGTGTATAGTTTCTGTGCATGTGTCTGTGTGGGTTTAGTCTGGGTGCTCCAGTTTCCTCCCACAGTTCAAAGGCATGCAGGCAGGCGAACTGGAGATGCTAAAAAGCGCCTAGGTGTGAATGTAGTGTGTGATTGTGTGTGTCTGTTTGTTTGCCCTGTGATGGACTGGGAACCTGTCCAGGGAGTTTCCTGCCTTCTGCCCAATCAGCGCTGGGATAGGCTCCAGCTCCCCCTGCGACCCAGAAGGATAAGCGGTTTAGAAAATGTATGTATATGTGTGTGTGTGTGTGTGTGTGAGTGAAGGAAAACGGGATCCAGCAACAATAATATACATCAACGAATATGATTTCAAAAGCATTAAAAATTAAATACATTAGTGTTAGTTATGTGCAAACTGCATGTATAAATCACTCAAATCACATCAGGATATTTAGTAGTCTCAAACCTCATCTTATAGGGTTTCTGGCACTACATAGCAAACTGTTATCAACAAAAAGTACAGAAACGTACAGACTTTCCTCAGCCTCACTTTAGAAAGTGTGGAGGCTGTTTTGTCTTTTAATGAAATGGGAAGTGATGAAGGTCCATGGTCTTCAGTTACCCAAGTGTCATCCAAGAAATAATGATATAGCTAATCAAGCATGTATTTTTGCTTCTGATGGAGCATTTAGCCTCCTGGAGGACGAAAGGTGTGTTCCACATGCAAATTAAACATGTTCATATGGCAGAGACTTGGATTTGGACAGTTCTGGTGCATAGGCCTACACTACAGCAGTGTTTCTCATTCTCATTCATTTCGGGAGGCTCCAGTGTTTCAACATTCCTCATTAAGGACTTAATATTTAGTAGTGCATGCTTTAAATTTGAGAAACCTTTCGATACAGCATAATGAATGGAGACTAATGAACCACGCGCATGAAAAAAAGCATCTGAGCATTTAGTTGATTTATTGTTAATCTTTATGTTTATTAATATTTATGTTCAAGTCATTTAGTAACTAACATTTTTACCTTTGCCTACACTTTTTAACAAGAACAATTCTATATAGTGCCAAAAAAGGTTTTAGGACTCCTCACCAGTGCAAAGTATTGACAATTCCTTTGTATCTGTCTGCTGAGCGTTTCTACTGTTTTTGCCTCTCTTGTGTTTTTAATCTTTTAAATAGACCTATCATATCATATAATCTACTAAAAATATTACCTCCTATGACCAGGCTGGAGTCAATTGTATTTAACATGCCCTCACAATTGACAGTGCTGTGCAGCACAGTGTGACAACATCTATTATTCTAGTCCAACTACAAAGAGATGAGGGACACACTGTTCAAGGCGGTGACTGTCTGTTTTGGGGTGCTTAAAATAATGTGAGGTTGAGCTATCTTCTTGATACGCCCCTGCACTCTTCCTGACATCATTTGGGCTGAACCTATCCTCAACCTAAATAAACGAATAATAATAATAATAAAAAACAAATGATTGAATATATAAGTATGCTTGATTATATCTACCATATTTGTACATTGCTTTGTAAAAGTGTCTCCTAAATGAATAAATGTAAGTTATTTTAGACACAGTGTTGTCAGGCTGATGTTAATTGGATGGACGGCCGTTCTAGACCTTTCCAGAACATCCAGATGGCCAGTCTGCCCATGCACTGCCTTTACTTACCCTTAAAGGACCATTTTAAAGGGTGAAAGTGATGTAATAAAGGGAACATGATTTGTCAGACTACACATAAATCATATGAATACTAAAATGAATCATACCAATATGACACATATGACCACTAATATGAATACAATTTCAAATTGCATTAGATTCGTATTAACCAAGCAAAAAGCGGAGCAGTAGCCTGAGTAAAGTAAATAACATTATACTGAGCCGTTGGTTAATAGAAATTACTGAAAATGTGTCATAATGCCTAATGTCATGATGGCTAACTAGAGTACATATAAAAAATAAAAAAAAAGCGTGTGACAAAAACCATCATGACATCAAACACTATTATCTATCATGACAATTCCTGGTAATGGTAACAGGGCACTGTTTACTGTTACTGTTTTACTAAACAAAATCGGTTATAATAACTCATGACAGTATCTTCCATGTTCATGTCAGTGTTAGGCAGCAGAGTTCAAGTAAAGTGTTACCAGCTACTGTTAGAAGCCTGTCATGATGACACATTAGTATGGATAATGGAGAAATGTCTAAGATTAAAAATCTAGTCTGAGTTTATGCAGGTACTAATCTTATCAGGCGGGCAAGTGGATCATGCAGGCAAGGCTTTCTGGCACAGCAGGAGGTTAAATGGACGTGTAGGTGGCTCAGCCTGTGAGCTCCTGACTCCTGTTTTCTGTAAATGACTTGTTGAGAAAGTGTTCAGTATGGGCTGAACATCAGGCTGGTATGTGCCTACGAGATGGAGCTCATAAACAGAGGTATACAGACTGGAACCACAAAAACCCAGTTAGAGGTGTGCATGCATTCAAACACATTTCCATTTAGCATAGAAAGCCACATTCAGTTTCTGCAGCAGACCCTCTCCATTCTGACCTATATAGAATAAACCACACTCAGTATCACTTTGACTCTGCAGAGAGCAATGTTATTGGAATTTATATATATTTTATAGCACCTGTAAGGCTTGAAATGCAGTTCTTTTCAGCCTATACTGTAGCGAATAATGCATCTCTTTCCATGCATTGCTGAAAAAAAATGCATGTTGATGCATGAATGAGTGTTTTTGCTCCACAGCATGTCATTGAGGGTTTGTTGGTGAAGGTGTTTGGGGTTTGAGACCACTGTGGTAAAGGTTGTCTCTGTTGTTCCCACACGCCTTAAAACTTTTTACACACATACGATCTTATCTCTCCACATTGTCTGTGTGAAATGAAATTAGTTAAATTTAATTTGTTGCATACATTTTTCCTACAAAAAAGAACACTTGACAGAGTTTCATGTAACTCAAACTTTTATTGCTTTGGAACCATAATAAAGTAAAATTACATTAATTTGTCCATATCAAACAGATCCTTAGCCACATCCACCTGCACAGAACATGTCAAAGTGCGCATCAATGCAAACGTAGCCATGATCAGTTCTATTACATGCATGACACAAAATGCTGTACACCATACCTGTATTTTGAATGATCAGTATCTCTGTATCAGCACTAGAGAAAAAATATTGGCAAACCTATTGGAAATCTTAAATTGATCTGCTTCCATTCTGGATTGTGAGAAATGCAACCAGCTTCTAAGACTGGAGGTGTGGAAAAATATCCCTATTTCAGAGCAAGTCTCCTGAAAATAAAGAAAGCTGTAATAAAGACAAAGGGTGGACTCACTAAATACTAAAAAAAGAACATTTTTGTTAATTATGTGTTTCCTGAATAACTTCATGGTTGTTTTGACTGAAAATTAAATTAATGGAGAGTGTTCTCTAGTTTTTGCACAGTACTGTACATTGTTGGTCCTCTGTTGCTGGTACTCTTGGAAACTGTAGCTCCTCTATTTAATGCACAGTTTTTTCAGCCATCTTGACCACTGGACTACTGCTTGCTAGATATTTTTGGTTGAAATTAGGGTTTTTACTCCAAAAACACTGCTGTGAATGATTCAGTCATACCATCACCACCCACACTGCTTTGCCACTATCATGTCAAGGTCACTGTCGCTGCTGTGCTAAGACGGGCCTACCATCCCAAAAAGAGCAACAGGTGAGTTACAAAGTGGTACATGGACAAAATTCTGGGTTTAAATAAAATAAAGATCATTGTGTAACCTGTGAATCTGAAGACAATGTATAAGGACCTAAGAATGAGGACTAATGAAGATTGGGTTTCATTCAGCAACTGTTCTTAAGAATATTCTGCCATGCACCAGTGTTTTCTTATTTGGGATTTGTTCTTAGGCAAGAAAAGAATCTACACACACTCAAGAGCACAAAGGTGTAAACAATTCTGCAGTTTGAGTGGATTATTTAAAAGTCTAACTTTAAAAAGGAATTCTATCGATTTTTAACAATTTATGCATAATTCAAAAATTACGATGAAAACAAAGCTATTCACAGTGGTTTGGTGTGAAATGCTCTGAGAAAGTAATTCAGGATTGTACGCAGTGGTGACAGAAACGAGACATCTAAACAAAGAGTTTAATGCCTCTAAAAGCTACTTTACAGAGGTTATTACATTAAATGGATATGAATACACTGCCCGATGTCTGGGGCAATGATTATAATAGTTTGGGATAAGATTTTAACCTAAAACGGATCTATAAAAAAGCTATTCATGCTGGAGAGGTACACGCAGAGTGTTGTAAGGGAAACTAGTACCCAAAGAAACATATTTTTTCAGATTGTCATTGTATTAGATCCAAAAATTCAGAAGACGGGTAGGTCCACTTGTGGTTTTGCATAGTAAATTAAATTTGCATCAAAGACATCATGATCCGTGGTTCCTATCAACACTACTATAGAGAAGTCAGAGTCAGTGAGTTTCTCTGTTTGACTTTGTTTACATCTAAAATTTAAATTAAATGGTGGAATTCTCCACAAAAATATTTGAAATCAGTTTTTTAGAGAAAGCTGAAGCTAATGTGGACTTTTGACTACGAATGCAGGTTAATACCAGAACCAGTATTGACCAATATTTGCTTAAAAAATTTGGGCATAGGACAGATGTTTTGATCTGACAGATATTTCAAATCAATATATGATGAAATATTTATTGTATCATGGTACAGCAGAAAGTTTTAGTCCTCAGGGCCGACCTGACAATCCACATTTTACCTCTAGGTGATGCTGAGCTATTGCGCTAAAAGACCTGCGTTTTAATGATTTCTTTCTGCATTTGTAGCCCTCTGCTAATATTTTTCTGTAACATATTTCAGGTGGATTTAGTCCCAATTTCTACATTTTATAAATGTTTATGTATCGGCATGGACAGATATATAAAATCAGTATCTGTTCACAATTCCCAAATCGCTGCATCCCTACTTTACACATGAACCAAAATGATGTCCTACCAGCCTAGACTAGCTTGCTCTGAAACTACTTTAGGAGTTGGCAGGGAGCAACTGTGAGCTTGCTGACAGTGACAGCTCTTTGGACTTGGATTTGGATACCACATGTAAATGCTACACGTAAAATCAACTCTAGACTTTGTGTCTGCTTACCTACAAGTGAAATAATGAGGATGTAGCACACGTCTGGCCACAGAACAGCTGATCAGCCACTCATCCAATTACTTTTGAGCACCTAAAAATAGGGAGGCTATGAATAAAAATGGTTGTAATTCCAACACCGTTTACCCAATTCGGATGTTACTACATTCAAATGAAAGCAGATAATCTGCACTTTGAGCTCACATTTGTTAATCAGTTTCAACTCCAAAACGCTGTGATAGACAGATAAAATAACAATAACTTTGCTGGCATCCAAATATTGATGGTCCTTGATTGATGTTACTGAGGTGCACCTCGTAATACCAACGTAATGTTTACTCTCAAGCATTTCATAGAAACTTCTGAAACTAATCACACTAATAATAGTCTTTGCACTAATGTTTGTTTATACCTCTATAATGACTTTGATGAGTATATGGGGGAGTGAGAGGTCAGTAAGGTAATGATTTGGGTGACAAACCTGTCCTTTGTTTATGTGTGTTTAATGCAAATATAGGTGGGTCAGTCATTATTGTTCTGATTCAGTGTTAAAAAGGAAAGAGATTTAGGTGTATTTATTCTGAGTACAGGTTTCTCCACATACTGAAAATAGTCTTATAATGAAGAAAATGAAATAGTTCTTGAGTTCAAAATGCCTTCAGTTGCTTTCATTCCAGAACAGACCTTCTGAACATCATTTGATAAACAAAACTAAAGCCAGAATCCTGCTTCCTTCTTCCTTCTGACCTCAGAAGGAAGGTCCTTCTTCCTACAAACTCCGCAGAGAGAGGTAGGTGACAGAGAATTTTCTACTTTTCTACTAATAACTACAGCCTGAGACTGACTATAACAATTAATTTGATCGATAATATGATATGCGGTTTATTTGGTGTATGTTAATACAGCTGTAAGTATTCTGACTCTGACTAAACCTCTCTATTGTATTGTGAGACAATTTATTATTACTGTAAAAACAGATTCTTATACTTTCATCTTGAATTTACTGAGTACGGGACTAAGGGTTGATTTTAAGTTGACTGATGGCATTTTCCTCTTTCACTAGGGAGGAGGAGACAAAAACTCAATCTCCATTCTGTAAACAGAGAGAAGGACGTACTGGTTTAAGCACAGCGCTGGTCTGCTGTACTACATATAATCTCAGTAGATGCAAGTATGAAGAAATGCTGACAAACACCTCAGAAATGCTGACAAATCAGTCTGGTCATTGTTTGACAGGTTTGGCTAACAGGCTAACAGGTGTCCTTGTTGAGTGACCTGGTAGGAGCTGAGTGGAGCTCAGTAAAGTGGAGGTAGGTGAAAGTTTTCAAATTTAGTGAATTAATTACTTTTTCTACATAATTAAATAGTTGAATGCTTCATTTTGACTGACTTTAACAATCATAAACAGGAAATATTTAGTCACAGTTAATGCTGATATCAATGTCTCCAAAGAATGAGCAGATTATCATTTGTTCAGATTATATAAAATTAATTTATAATGATTTTATACAGAGTGATGATGCAGATTGTGGTCTAACTGAAAATGGCATTTTAGGCTACTGTAAAAACAGAAGTTCCATCCTGAATTTGAGTTTAAAAGCGAAGACGAAGGTTTATTATAATGTTAGTGACGTTGTGATCCTACGTCACCATGTAGGAGGAGACATGCTGTACGTTTCTGTCGCCATTTCGAAGAAGCGCAGACAGTCATCGGTTGGAGCTCAGAGCTGATCTGCTGTACTGAACATAGTTTCAGTTCATAAAGAATGAAAAGATTGCTGACAAACTGCTGTTGGAAATGCCTGCAATTCCTTCTTCCACTAAAGAACTGGACACTGTCTGATGGATGTGGCTGACAGGCTGCTCTTGTTGTCTAAACTGAAGTGTGACGGAGCTGAGAGGAGCTCGATGAAGAGCGGTAGGACAACACATTCACTCAGATTAAAGACTGAAGATTAGAGATTAAAGAATGAGTAGTTCATCATTTTACTGAGATTTATACAGATTTTACTTACAGTAATATTTTACTATATTTACAGGTTCACTTTAAAATGGCATTTCAGATTACAGGTCAAATGATAAAAAGCAGGAAGTAACTCCAGTTGGTGTCCTTTAGGAAAGAAAGCTGACCTAGAAAAGTAAAACTGACTTTATTACTGAAGACTCAGTGTAGATTATTTTATTAGGAAGTGAAGGTTGTTTGATGGGAGTATTGATGTATTATTTGTTGTTTATCAGAGTATTTTAGTGACTGCTGTCTTTAATTCTGTGGTTTGTAGGAGGAATGATAATAATAGGTTAAATAAACTGATTAAACAGTAGATAAAGGTATTGATTTAAAAATGATAATCATGTTTTCTATATATGTGTCTGTAAAAAGTTTGCTTATCCCCTTAACATTCAATTGCTGAGAGTAAGAAAGGAGGGATGAAGTGTATTAGATTATTTTTCAGTTAAATTCACTAATAAATCAGCAGTCTATATAATGTAATAAACTGAGGAAGTCTGCTAAACATTTCTTGAAAAGACTAAATTGTAGTTTAGTGGTTGAAACAGTTCCAGTTTGTGAATCTATAAAGGATGAAGAGTTTCTAATTTTCTTAAGATTATCATGTGCACTACATGCTATTTCAGATATATAAGATTAATCACACACATATGTAGCTGGTCAGGGCACATAGTTAGCAAAGATGGAATAACATGTAAATCCTTCTGTTTCACTGTGTTGCATGCAGTGTTAATACTGCTTATTAATGCTCTTGATGCTCCACTAATTCTGCTGATCTACTCCTCCACTGCTTTGAAGGATAATTTTTGAAAAATGTAGAAAAGTACAATTTAAGACAGCACTGAAAGAGTTTTAGTGGTCACCTGAAAAGCTGAATGTAATTTAAAGTGTTGTGCATTCTCTATCCTCATGTGGGTTTTTTTAGTATGGAAACATATGAAACATTTGAACAGTAGAGGGCGATGTTGTTGTAGTTGTTGTGAAACGATTCAGGTTCATGTGCTGACTGTCAGCAGCCAACACCCACAGTAACAACAGGGAGGAGCAGATCTCTGTTAGTTAAACATGAACAAAACAAAGAAAAAAGGTCTTACTGAATGTATGTGCACCTTCCATTGAAATGAGTCAGAGGTTTAAATATTCTAGTAAATAAAGGTATATTAATTCTAAAGGTTTTGCTGGTCATAGAATAACAACTTTATTATCTATTTATCATTAGATAATTTCTACAGCATTAAATAGACCCTGATGTGTTTAAGCTTCGACTCTGTAGACTTTTACTGAAGATACAGAACACTAAATGCTCTGGACACACCTTGAAAATTGGGACGACTGAAACCTGAAGCTGCTTTGTTGTCGGTGGTTATCAGTAGCTCTAGTTCCTCAATGACCTCACTTTTTTTCCTAGCTAACTTTACACAATTCTAAATTATTTAAAAGTGTGCAAAAAAACAGTGCTTGAGTTGAGAGTTTACAACAAGTCTAACTAGTTAGATTCTACCCAAAGGCTTCGGCTTTGTCAGCTTGCAAATGAGCCGTTGACATGATAAAAAAAATCGTTGTTGCAAGTCCTGCAGTGCCACTATCCCATACCTTCACATTATCAAGTGAAATAAGATACAGTAATATAGTAATAAGAGTGGTTTTCATCAGGGGTCTGTCTCACAAAGCAAGTTAAACTCCATACAGGACTCCATACTGAGTTTCAGCTTCATGAAACCCAACAAATGAATCCGTGGTTTACTTGTTTTATGACATTTGTTGGCAACTTTGAGTAACACTTTAACGAAGAGCAGCGTTCGTAAAATACACCTACATAAGCCTTTAATGACAACTGACATAAACCTGTTTAGATATTTATAAAGGCTTATACCAACAAGCATCAGTTATAATGCTTATTGAGGTTCAGTGACAACAAAACTGACAAAAGCAGCTTATGTAGGTGTCATGTAGCCTTACAAATACTGCCGTTCAGTGAAGTGTTAACCCCCTTTCTCCAGGTTTAGATACACGGGCTGTGATTCTTCATGCATGTGCATAGCATGATCTTCATGATGTACAGCCATAGAAGAGCAACTTATTTAAAAAAAACATAGAAATTTACATAAATATGCAGAAAGTAAAGCATGTATATAACTGTTAAAAAGCCATGTTTTGCCAGTGCTACTGCATTAGTGCTTAGTGGAGTAGTAACTGCTTTCTAAGCTTCTTATGTATGTTGTATGTTTAGTTTTTTGTCTGCTAAAAGTATTTTGTTGTGATATTTTTCACATGACACCACAAAGAAAAAGTGAGGTCCACCTCTATCAGTTCCTGATTGGCCCTGATTGTTTCCAAAGCTGTTTGATCAGATATCCCTGGAGCAGGTTAGGGGTCCAGCATGAGTTGCTATGGTGACGTATCCTGGTAAAAAGTGATCACAGCATAAGATCCAGGATTGGATCGGACTAAGATTAAAGTTAACTGGCTAAGTGAGAAATTCTGCCTGGTGAGACAGACCCCAGGTGTTCAAGATGGTGAATAATAAAACCATGATTAAACTGCTGCAAGTCTTGACAGGACTGACTGTAACGTCATAAAAATAAAACATACAATAAAAAATAAATTAAATCATATAAAAAATATGTAATAGAAAAGACTGAAATACCATTTTATAGCAGTTCAGAATGAAATGCATTTTACACACAGCAATAGACTGATTGTTAATATTTCTGACCAGTTCTAAACAACACACTGAATACTGACCAAAACAGGGCAGTGGTGAACTAAGAAGTAGAAATGTAATGAAAAAGGATTTACTGCTACTGAAATGAGTTACGTCCTGACAGTTGAGTACAGCACAGAGTCACTCTGGTCCTGAACTTCTGTTACTGCAGCTCTGTTTACCTGTAAAACACAGCAGAACATTTCAGTAATTTCAGCTCTTTAATACTGTTAAAATATACAGCGAGGGTCCAAAAGTCTTCATCAAAAGTCTATTGAAAATTGGTAAGTTCGAGAAGTGCTGCTACCTTGAACAGAGGAGCTACATTAGGTTTGCTAGCATGCTAACAGCTCTGCCCCCTGCAGAATATGGCTTGGTAGCGAACTGATCCTAAAATGGCTAAAATTTAGAGGATATAAAGTCGAGTGACTGATGTTGGAGTGAAAGTGAAATCAAGCGTGTCCTGTGGTGTGTGCGAAGTATGTGCGATTCTGATATGTGTAGCTCTATCATGCTTAGTTTTTCAGAGGTTTTTCTGCCTCTGATTTGCCCCTTTTTTTCTGTTCTGTGCCATACCAGTGAGCTGCCACACCACTGTGGAATTCATGTCACTGGTATTAAAGCAAAAAGAGGCCTACCAAATACTAAATTCTGAAGTGTTAAAATGTCAAAGATTCTACTCTACATTCAGGTTGTTATGCTGGTAATATAATTTGTAATGACACATTTAGTATTTAATTGGAAAAGAAAGCAACAGAGCAGCATTTTCACTAGTGCTCTCAGACTTTTGGACCCTGCTGTACAGTCCTTCCATTTTGTGCCTTTGACGGTGCATGGACAATCTTTCATAATAATGAAAGCACGATATCTAGATCTAAAGTTGTTAATATTTCACAAGTCTCAACAAGTCTGTTAAAATAAGATCTTTAAAAATTATGCTAACATTTATGCACACATGCTAATGCTCTGAGTCACATACTAAAAGTTTGTTTTGTGATTTAAGTTCCCAACAGATTAACATGAATAGTCACCAAAGATTAAACTATTTCAACATGAAAATTAATTTAAAGAGAACTATTCCTATTCTAGTCCTGTTCCATTTCAGGTGTGGAAGCTATTGCTCAAGTCTGAAGTTCAGTAGATGAACACAAATGTCCCCATGCTCATATGGTATGTGTAACCACAGCACAATAACCAAAAAGGATTAACTATTAAGTCTGTAATGAACTTACCTCACAAGCTTCTTTTGAATTTTGAGGTTTAGTTTTAACTACAGCATAATTCAGCTCAGCATCTTCAAGAACTACAAACACAAAAACACAGAACAGTGTATTACAGAAGTGCAGTAAAAAAACTTGTTTCACGTACAAAATCACAAATAATGAAAATCAGTGGATGTAGCAAATTGAGAAGATGTATTTCTTGCCTTGTTGCTTTGACTTCTTTTTCCAGACCCACACACATAATATCAATGATAGAGCAACAATCAGAACAGGTATCAGAACAACAACCAGCGACTTCCTACGAACCTCCTCATTTGGATCTTTAACTGTAAAGGAGTAATAATAATAATAATAATAATAATAATAATAATACAATTGTTCCAAAATATAAAAAAAACAACAGAGACAACTATTTTTAGTATCATGCTGTATCTGCATCAGTAGAGCATCAGAGGATCCAGTGAAGTGCTTAACTGCTTCTTTCTGTAAGCAACTCTGACTATATTCACAATACAGTTAGCATCAAATTAGACACAAGATCAAAGTGATAATGGTAACACTTACCTGTGTTAATATAGCAGATATTTGTAATGTTGAGCTGGGTTGTCTGATTGCTAACTGGATTATCAGCTACACAGGTGTAAGTAGAACAGTTTAGGTTGGTTATATTCAGAGGAAGATAAAGATGTTCACTGGAATCTGAGCTACTATTGCGGGAGATTCTCTCTTTCTCTTCATACCAGGACAAACTCACATCCTTCCCATTCTCCACAGAGCACAGAGGAGAACACGACTCTCTGGGATTCACTGAGCACTTTTCAGATTGATTTCTTATGGTTGGCTTTGATACTGGAGCTATACAATACAAAATAATACAACAAAACAGATGAGACATTCACTGAATCTTTGAACTCATAATCATTGAACAAAACAACCAAAAATATATATCAAATTACTATTAACTATTAACTGTTACACTATGATAATGTTAACGGAAATGTGTTTGCTTTGTCTGTTTGGCTGCTATGGAGAAAATCCGGTGTCTGATCTTATGCTGCAACTGCAGTTTGCAAAATTCAGACGTTTCACCACATCTGATATCTACTGTATATAAACAGCACATCTGAGCCGTGTGCAGAATCTCTTTATCTCGTTATCTCTTTAATTTAAATCCTGAATTTAGTCTTTCCAAAATTAGATAGGCCGAGACATTACCCAAGAGAAAAACTTCATCACAATGAGACAATGTCGGTCTACTAACAGAGATATTTTGCGTATTTTTCATGTTTTATATTAATCAAAACACTTCCATTTGGTTTATACATCATAATTTAACAATATTGAGCATATTCATTATTTTAATGTATAAAAGTCTTCCAACTAACACTAAATCTAAATCTAACTAAATCTAACACTGAACCTAATCCCAATCCCAACCTAAACTTCAAACCTAACATTAACCCTGACACTGTTGATATTCCATTGTTTCACCACATTGTTTCTTTACAACTTTGAGACTCTGTAGATGATCAATACAGGACAAATAAAAAATAAAGTGTGACCACATATTCGGTACTGTTAGTTCAAAATCACTTTAGCCTAGTCGCAATAAGTTGCCTATCATACGAAATGTAGTTACTGGACATGAAAATGTGCAACTGAAAATGTAATAAAACCTACATAAAATAATAATAAAAAATTAAAATCCTGTTCCGGTGCTGCAGCTGCTTCAATTGGTGCAGTTCATGCTATTTGTTCAATCTGAGCCCAGTTCTTCTTATTCATGTTCTACCTGTTTCTACAGGAACTATAAAGGTGAAAATATAATATTTACTCACCATAAACATCAACACTGAAACTCCAGACTGAGATACTTCCTGTAATGATGTGTAATTTATAAACTCCAGAATCTTCTCTGCTGATGTTTGTGATGGTTAAAGATCCACTGTTTCTGTTCAGCTGCAGTCTGTCTCTGAATCTCTCACTGTCATAGTCTGTATTAGTCTCCCCTTTAAACACCAGACTGTCCACTATCTTTATATCTGCATTTTTAGGTCCATAAAACCACAGAATCTTTGCATCACTCTGAACTCCAGTTAATCCAGTATGGATGGTTACAGTGTTTCCCTCCAGCTCCTGCAGTCTGATAACCTCTTCTCCAGCTGAGCACAACAGACCTGAAACAATGTAAGTAGAAATTATTAGTCTATATACACTCACATACATATTCCTTGTCAGTTCATCTCTGAAGCCACTTTCTCAGATGAATAAAAAAGTGACTGAACTTGGACTACAACAGGTCTTTTCTGCAGCACTCTGTTTGAATTTAATTCACATTAGGTACAAGTTCAGCAGACTACTTGCTGTGTGTCTGCTATGAAGGAAGAACACTGCTCTACTTTACTTATTAAAATTAGCAGCCATGTACTTTAAGGGAATACTCAAACATTAACAAAACTTGCGAAAGAAATACCGACAACGAGACACCTAATGTAAAAACTAATGTAATTAAACTATTATAAAAGTGAAAAAAAACATTTTGTTAGAATAAATGTATTTTTGAGGTCATATGATACTAAAACATCTTGTATAGTGTGCATCCAATACCACAACATCACACTTTTTGCATGTCATGTCTCACATGATTTAAAATAAATTGCATACTTTATATATACATGTAAATGATTATAGCAAACATCTTTCTATCACTCTACACAAGCTTAGTGACCTCACTACTGCTTAAAGCTACATCCAACACACTTTATATACAGATCTATCACTGATATGACTGTATTTCACATTGATAGATCATCATCTAATACAGATACACCTACTTTCGGTTCTGCTCTACTGTATAAAACACATCAACACTCACAGTGACACTGTTTTCTATTAAACACAGAGCAGTAACAGTAAAGACGATCTCTATCAGTGTTCAGTCTGGACTGACTGCACTGTAAGTTCAGAGCTCTTTATTTTCCTGGAATAGTTTGAGGAAAACAGACTTACAGTAAAGCAGGTGAAGCAGAGCTGGATGAATCCTGTATTCTGAGAACATTTTAACCAGCCATTCTAATCAACCAGCTTCATCAACTAACTCTTCAACTCCATCGTCAGTTTTCTTCTCAGCTTCATAGAAAACAAAAGAAAAACACACAGAGCTGATGCGCTCGTGCTGGGCTGGGCTAGGCTGGGCATGCCCATCATGCATTGCGTGAAAAGCTGTCATGAATTTAAACTGGCTGTTTCACCATCTTACAAACTAGAATCATAACAATATCAGCTGAGATGACTCTTTTAAATGAGGTTTAAAAACTATGTATTAAATATAGGTTAACTATATTTAATATAGCTGCCTGTTTTTATACTGATAGATTACAGTGAAGGGTTATAAATGATCTTCTGTAAACATGAATTTGTTTCTCTGAATGCATTGTATACATAGTAAACACTCTAAATTCACTGCATGTGTGTATATTTTTTAAAGTTGTTTGTAACTCTCTGTCTTGGCAGTAAGTTGTGTTTTAGCTGTTAAAAACACTATATTACATTAGAATAAACACAAATAAAGCTATTGACATCATGGTTAAAGGAATGCAGTTAAATGAATAATTACTAACCCTGATCCTGTAGATCTACCTTCTTGCAGCTTCTAGTTCCAACTACAATCTGCCACACCTGCTCCTTCTCTTCAGAAGTACTAGATTGGCTGGATCAGATGCATTAGTGTTATATAAGGAAGAGGCAGCATTTTAGATACAGGTTGGAAATAAATTCTGCAGGAAAGTAGATCTCCGGGAGGAGAGCTGGTGACCACTGAGGTACAAGAACACAGGTTTGGTTCCCGACTTCTTGCTGATCTCCAGTCATTGTATGGACTTATTAAATCCCATCATCATCATCACCTGACCTAATGTAATGAACGATTGATCAGCTGAAGCAGATATTGGATGGTAACTGTAAATACTGGACTTCCTCCAGAAGAGATTTAGAAATGGTTAAACCAGCGCACTTTAAGTGTTTATTTGTTCATGTTGTGTTTATCGTAATGTTAAACTAATTGGCTTTACTTTTCATTTTCTCAGATTAGGACCTCTTTAAAAGATTACAGGTTTGTTTTTTTTTGTTTTTTTTTGTTTTTTTTTGCTTACATGTGCCATAGTAATTTACACTTATAGACTTAGATCCACAATGCTGCTGGCTTCTGTATGGTGAATTATTGGGCAAACGTTCCAATAATAATAATAATAATAATAATAATAATAAGTAGAAAAATAAGAATTTCTATTTATGAAGCATCTTTCATAAACCAAAGTATACTTTACAATGGAAGTAATAAATATACACAAATAAAAACAACAGGAGAAAAACAGTAAAACTGTACATATAAAAGAAGAAAAAATAAAATAAAACAGTATATAGAAATAAACATAAACAGTAGGAGACAAACTATTTGAAATGTTTTGTTGTTTCAGCCTAAATCACTGTGCATGTTTTATTTTTAAGTCAAAAACATAAAACACTATTAAGAACAGCTGTGAGTGGCACAGCTGCTTGTATCTGTGGCTACAGTTCCTGAGAGCAACCCTGAGGTTGTTTTCAGCATGTGTTCAGTCGAACTCAGGCAGTCATTATATTTCATGCTGAAGGCATTGCCTGAATACATTGGAAACTGTATAAAGGAGAACCTTTGTTTAACTGTTATTTCTTTTTTCTCACACTCTCACAAGCTAAATTTTCCAATGTATACTGAAAAAGTGGAATCTACCTTTCTCTTGATCAATCAAAATTAAAATGATCAGACTAATCTAATCTCTAATGTATTGTGAAGAACTTTACTTTCACTGACCTGATGAAAAGGTTTTAGATACACTGGGGCCTCATTTTAAGCTGAAACCCACCACTTCCGTTTTAATGTGTGAGTCTGGGGGGCTGCTAACTGCTGCCACTGTGACTAGAGTGCACCAACCACAGACAGTTCATTTATTTAACTTCCAGTCAAAGTGATCATTAAGTACAATTTATTCACTTATATTTGTAATTTATATACAGCAATCAGGTATAACATTATGACCACCTCCTTGTTTTACACTCACTGTCCACTCACTATATAGGTGCACTTTGTAGTTCTACAATTACAGACTGTAGTCCATCTGTTTCTCTGCATGCTTTGTTAGCCCCCTTTTACCCTGTTCTTCAGTGGTCAGGACCCCCATGGACCCTCACAGAGCAGGTACTATTTGAGTGGTGGATCATTCGCAGCACTGCAGTAACACAGACGTAGTGGTGGTGTGTTAGTGTGTGTTGCGCTGGACTGAGTGGATAAGACACTGCAGTGCTGCTGCTGATATATATACATGTGTGTGACTTTTGCACACTATGTATACACCATGTTGCCATGTTATGGTTTTTTCAACCTGCAGATTTGTGACCCTACAGCAGTCAATTTTTTTTTTAATGTTCCTTAATGTTCACTGTTCTCAGCTTTGAATAACAGCCAATCAGGCATCTGCATGACTACAACACTCTAAAAGCTTCTGCATAAAGCCTGAATAATAAAAGGCTGCTGAATTGATTGTAAAGATTAATATAAATTATTGGCAGTTGCTATTCAAATTTGAAACCACTGTTCAAATTTGGTCACTCATGATAGTGCTATCATGTAACTATATACATATGCAAAACCCTCAGAATGTACTGTACACTAGACCAGCTCTAGTGAATTTCACTGAAGAGTTTTTTTCTCAGTGTGTTGGAGGGTTTAAAGCATCCTCCCTCCATTTACCATCGTCCATAGATCAATACATTATCACATGCTTCTGTGATCTAATGAGCTGCTGCCCTGAGAACCATAATGGAACATGAACATTGTGTGGTTTGTTTATTCATCCATCATCACTTATTCACTATTTGTTGTTGTTCTTTCCACAGAGTGAGTTCAAAACACAGTGAAAATGAAATGAATAATCAGCTATTAAACAAGAGCTGCAGTTACATGAAGCTACTGGTTTTCTAAAAACACAGCATCTGTTTGGCATTCCAGGCAGCACGGTGGCGCAGTGGGTAGTGCTGTCGCCTCACAGCAAGAAAGGCCTGGGTTTGACTCCCAACCTTGTGACCGGGGTCCTTTCAGTATGGATTTTGCATGTCCTCCCTCTCTGCGTGGGTTTCCTCCAGGTTCTCTAGTTTCCTCCCACAGTCCAAAGACATGCAGTCACGCCAATTGTACATGCTAAATTGCCCCTAGGTGTGAGTGTGGGTGTAACTGTATATGTCTGTCTGTCTGCCCTGTGATGGACTGGTGACCTGTCCAGTGTGTGTCCTATATTTGTCTCATATATTTTTGTTGTAGTCACTGAAACCCTTACTATTTTAGCTGTTTTTGTAACTGATTAGTTCTTCAGTGAGATGTATAGTCATTTTAGTTGTATCTTAGTTTATCATAGAACTAACCTGCTGTTCATTGTTTTATTTGCAGGTCAGTTATCACTTACATTTAATTCTTGTGCAAAACTAAATATTAATGATTATTTTACTGTCTAGTTCCTTATTTTCAGCTATTTGTTCTCTATTTTGTGGTTTGGTTGTTGTCATCAGTTTCGGGGGAATCACCACAAAGAACACAGCAGAAATAAGAAAAGCAGAAATAATCAGAGAACACCAGAATAGATCTTTTCAGCTTTTGAAAAAAGGGAAGGAAGGATTTCGTGGGGGGTGGGGGGGTTAAGCCAACGCTTATGCCAAGCCACACCTCATGAGTGCTAAACTACATCGTCTGCATCAAAGGTTCAAAACTGTTTGATAATTGTAAATATTGAAATAAAAGAGTTTTGAAAAAGTGTTCAAGTGGTTTTTCTTTGTGTTGCACCACAGAAAACAGTACAGCATCATTTTCACATTCAGTCTTTCATGAAAAAGGGAAAAAAACAATCACAAACAACAGCTCTCCTCTAGCCATGTGCACTGTTACTCACTTCCACATGAGTCACGTCACAGTCAGTTGATGAATAAGTGAAAGAAAACCCAGTAATAAACCTGTTATATTGTCATAATGGTGAATGTCCCATTCCTTAAGTTTGGAATATTCCTGCTCTTCCACTGTGTTCTACTGTTATTTACTTAGATAAGACGTGTCTGTCTGGATAAATTGAACTACCTTTCTTAGAATGTCTCTGTTATCTGTCCATCTTTTCAGTGCACTGTAATGCTTACAGCATCCAGACTTCACCCACATACCACAGAGTTTAGTGCTGCTTCATTTTGAAAGAATAAGTCAGAATAAGCCAAAATACAGTATATCTTCATATAATCTGCTTATTTGGGTTGTGACAGCAGACAGCACTGAGTTCATCATTGACCCCCGACCACCCCCCAAATTAAAATCTTGATTGATTTCCAGACTGAATCCTTCATGAAGCTTCTTCCTACCAACTATTTTATCTGAAGCTACTCCCTCAAAATACATAAGCTCACTCAGTTTCCTAAAAAACATTCCCTAAAGATTTTTCTCATATTGACTCACAATATGATAATAGTGAAGATATACTATGTAACATCACATATGGAGAAACCAAAACATTTTTAAAAATCAAACGTAAGTTCTTTTTTAGACTGTTCAGCTCAGCTGTTGCTCAGTTGCCATGTCACATAGTCTCTAGACTCATGTCTGCATGTGGTCGTAAGCAAACACTAGCCGCAAACATTTGGATTTGCTTCTATTTCTTCTGAGTAAACAGGAAACTGTCTTGGCATCCTATTACAGTACCACGCTCGAATTCAGTGAGCTCTTTAGAACGACTCATTCTTTCGCAAATGTTTGTAAAGGCAGACTGCATGGCTAGGTGCTTGATTATATACACCTAAATTCAATGATTAAGCAGTGTGTCCCAATACTTTGGTCCATATATTATGCCTTTCATTCTTATCAAGAGCACAAATTAAGACTCACAAGACTATGAAATCATACTCCACACTTCAGATGTCCAATTTTGATGTTGGTGTTGAAATTTTCTTCTTTTTTATCTGTTTAATTTTCTCAGTAACAGCTTCTTGACAGCTTCTTGACAGCTATACATCCATTCAGATGGTTTTGGTGGTCTTCCATGTCAAGCATGGCTGTTACCAATTTTCTCTGTATCTATTTATAGTTTTGAACTTGTTTTTTTTTTTCATTTCATTGTTTTTACTTTCCTTTTTTAATGAAAATGGACTGTCTTATCTCTCTCTCGTGGGTAACACTTCCTGCATGACTGATTGTGAAAGCATCTCTTTCAGTTCTCATCGTCACACACTGAACTCTCATCACGTGAGTGAGTGAACAGTGAAGAGCTCTGAACCTGCATCAGTTACAGCTTCATTTAGCTCCATGGA